GGGGGCGGGGCCACAGTCAGGGTCGGGGTTTGCCTTCGGGAGAGGGAGAGCTCGGGGGCTGCCTGCCACCAGAAGTAGAGGCCGGGGGTTCGGAGCCAGGGGTGGAGGGTTTGCCGCGCCCGGCCTGTCCTCCTTGGGCGACTTGGTGGACCTGGCGAAGAAGAAAGCAGCGATGGAGTCAATGCAGTACGACGAGCTGGCCCAGCTGGTGCACGCCTGGAAGTACGTCATCACGTCCATGCCGTACAAAGGGGACCCAGTGGCGACTGTGGAGTCCTCACTGCAGCATCCAAATGTGAGTACAATAATGATCGCAGAAACAGGAAGATCTCTCTTCGGGTACATGGACAAACCCAACCCCAAAGACCCTTTAAATCTTTTATGTAGAGTTGACCAGACTTTGATCTTCAGAGCCAGCACAGGACACTTACACACCAACAAGCACATAGACAGAATCAACCCCATGTGGGAACCCCATTGCAGACACTGTGACTACCACGAGGAGACCGTTGAACATCTTCTCCCTCACTGCCCAAACCTGGCAGTTCTTCGACGCAGGCTCCTACACACACCTACAGACTTACAAAGCTTGCTCTACTCTGGCGTTGACCAGATGACAAGGACATGTGGTTACTTGAGGGAGGCTGCACTGCCAAGAGCGAAATGCTCGCAGCTAAAGTGATTTGAAAACAACAACAACATGATTGTTTTTAAGCACAAGGGGGCTATTCCGAAAAATGCTGTTTTGAGAAAATCGAAGGTAAAGTTTTGCCCCTTGTTCAGTTTCTTTAAAAGACAAGGAGAGTTTTCTCTATAGCCAAACAAATATACACACCAATGAAATCAAACTTCTCCTTTAGGTAGGGCAATGCCCACTTTTGGTGTAGGTCAAGATTTCTGGAAACCCCCGAACTCTGGGTTAGCCTGCTTGTCCTTAAAAGCGACCATTTGCAGTTTTGGTTGTTTTTTTTTTGTTTTTTTGTCACAATGAATGAATTTGTGAAATAGAGAGCACCGAGAGTGGGTTGTTGGCGGGTGCTCTGGTGTGGTTTGCTTCTTCTTTCCTATAAAACATCTGTCATCCTTATCTCCCCTTCTTCTTTTTTTATGTTTGTTACTCTCTTGTAACACCTCTAATCTTCTGGCGCTCATATGACCTTATGCAGTTGCGAGCGCCGTAAAACCTGTACTAAAAAAGAGAGCACCACTTCTTGCTAGATTAAGGGGACGGTCGGCTGGGAGTAAAATATTGTGTGGGAGGTTTTTACACCAGTGAATTATCTGAATGTGTCGAGGTATCAAACCCGGGATATCATGTGGCAGAGTATAAGATTGCTGTGTGTGCCATTTGGTTTCATAGTTATTCTTTAGACTAGGAACACCTCTAAGTGGGTGGTTGGCGGGTGCTCTGATGTGGTTTGCTCCTTCTTTCCTATCAAACATCTATCGTCCTGATCTCCCCTCCTTCTTTTTTTATGTTTGTTACTCTCTTGTAACACCTCTAAAATCTTCGGCTCTTATATATGACCTTATTGTGTTGCAAGTGCCGAAAAAACTCTTACTAAACCTTTTGTATGTTATTGTTTGGACTAGTAACACCTCGAATCTTTGGCCGTTATTTGCCATAGTTGTGTTGTAAATGCTGTAAAAACTGTGCCTAAAACTCAGCCACCACCAATCCCCTCGGCTCAGGTGCGGGGTCTCAGGCTCCAGTTTGACTGCCGCTTCCTGTGTAAGATCAACTGCTACTCGCTCTACTCGGGCCAGCTGAACCTGCACAAAATGCAGCACGGTAAACCCGCCAACTTCTGCTTCCTGGTGCGCGGATTGGGCCTGAACAGAGAGAGGTGCCGGATCGATTGCTTCGAGAAGGCGTATGAGCTGATCATGACGAGCAAGGCAAGTGCACTTTTTTGTTGTTGTTGTTGTTTTTTTCCCTGATTTTATTGTTCTGATTGTGGGTGGTTGGCAGGTGCTCTGGTGTGGTTTGCTCCTTCTTTCCTATCAAACATTTATCGTCCTGATCTCTCCTCCTTCTTTTTTGTGTTTGTTACTCTCTTGTAACACCTCTAATCTTCGGCACTTGTAATATGACCTTATAGTGTTGCAAGTGCCGTAAAACTCTTACTTAACACCCCCCGGGGCGGTGCCACTGACTGAAGTGTCTTTAGGCCATTCCCAAAGGGGGGACATTTCTCGTTCTAGTGCACAGTAGAATTGTAAATGAGCTGATCTAACCATGTCATGCTCATTACTGTGCCTGAACTACGACAGGGAACTGCTGCTTTTTCTTTCCTAATCCTTACTATCGTCATTTTGCCTCTACTTCTTTTGTATGTTTGTCACTCTCTTGTGACCCGCTATTTCCGGGGTGCCTTGATAGTCGAAGCAGACTTTGTGCTGTTGAAGCTATAGAGGTGAGCAGAGTAAGTCTGATTCCCCGTAAGGACTTTTCTGTTGACATTCACCCTTTGGCGCTAATATGACCTTATGCTGTTGTGAGTGCCGTAAAACCTCTACTGAATAAAAAAACCCAACCATTTACTAAAACTATAAAAAAACTCCTCACATATAACGACCCTGAAAGAAAAAAGAAATGTGTGCCTTGCTCATGAACTGTGGGTGGTTGGTGGGTGCTCTGATGTGGTTTGCTCTTTCTTTCCTATCAAACATCTATCGTCCTTATCTCCCCTCCTTCTTTTTTGTGTTTGTTACTCTCATGTAACACCTCTAATCTTCGGCACTTATAAGACCTTATTGTGTTGCAAGCGCCGTAAAACTCTTACTAAAACTAAAAACTGATGAGCTGTTTGTGTTTGATGTCCCGCCCAGGTGGAGGAAGTCTTGTGTCAGGAGGACTGCGGAGAAGCCACCCTCGTCCAGGAAGTACATAACTTGTTCACTGCCGACCAGAAAGCCTTTATGGACTTGCTCAAAGTGAGTTTCGCAGAATCAACTGGGGGCGTTTTTTCTTTTCCATAAACATTTGTGAGGCATGGTCGTGGTGAAATCAGGCGCTCGTCAAAATAAGGAAATGCGAGAAATCGGCTTTTTTTTGTCCAGTTTTGACATTTTTTTAATAGTTTTTTTTTTCTTTGGCTCAAAACCTTGTATGTCCTTTAAAAAAATTTTGATGTGTGGATTTTATGGAAAAACGTTGATTAAAAGCGCAACAAATTTAAACTTGCAGCTTCCAAGGACTGTGAAGCTATGGAAGTCAGCAAAGTTTAGCGGCCATTTTCTCGCTTATTTTACCTCTGAAATCAGGCGACCCCTTTTCCTTCAATCGCAAATATCTCGACTTCTATTCAAGATAAATGGATGGTTTTTTTTCCATCGAAAGCTAGGCAAATTAACAACCTTTCAGATGATACCAATAACTCCATATACCCCAAAATTGACGAGCGCCTGATTCCTCTGTGTCGTGACACATAGCGTCGGTGCCCGACTCTTAACAGGGTATAGTGGGTGGTTGGTGGCTGCTCTGGTGGAGTATGCTCCTTCCTTTGCTCTCAAACATCTGTGGTCCTGAACTCTCCTCCTTTTTTGTTTGTGTGTTACTACTCTCTTGTAACACCTCTAATCCTCAGCTCTTCTTTGGCCTAATTATGTTGCAAGTACCGTAAAACTCTTACTGAAACAAACGATGTACCCGCTAAATAAAGTCAGACACTTGTCTTGTCTGAACTCATGTTATTCTGAACTGCAGGTATAATTGGTGATGCTATGATAAGTAAAAATAGAACACTCTACACAAAGTTTCAAGCAGATCTGGAAGGTAGGAAATAAAGAAATGACTGTTTTTCTTCAAAAGTCTTTGATCTAACCAAAGATAGTAAATAACAAGATGGGCCACTCAGCCAAAAAAGTGTCCGCAGGAAGTATGCTCTTTGCTTCAGATGGCGCTGCAGTCTGTTTTGAAGCTTTCTTTCGTTTTTCCAGAAGAAGAATAGGAATAGCACCTCCTTGCGTGCGCAGATCGACTGCTGTTCATCAGCAGTTTGGGTTTGTTCAGTACGGAGTTTTAGTTTTTAAAAATTTTTAATGACCTCTCGCCTTTCATTCTAAAGTCAAATTAAACGAAGAAAACAATCACCCTTTCCTCCGGAAGAGGTTTTTTGTCAGCGTAACCATTTAAAAAAGCGTTCTTCCGAAATTCATTCAAAAACTTGTTAGTTTCACTTTGATTTTTTAAACTCAAGTAGGATAACTCTGTTCGCAAAAGGTGCGATTTTGTGAAGAGGGCGCCACCGAATTTTGAGGACACTTTTTTAATTGGCTCAAAGAGAGAAGTGGCCCCTCTTGTTATGTAGACTCTTTGATCTAACGTAGCTGTCAGAACCTGAAGTTATGCAGTATATACACAGTAGTCTCCGCCTAAGATCCCACCACTTATGATCCCGGTTCACTTAAGATCCCGCTGTTTTAAGAAAACAGAATTTTTACTATACAAAAGTCACCTCTAAGATCCCGCTGTTTTAAGAAAACAGAATTTTTACTATACAAAAGTCACCTCTAAGATCCCGCTGTTTTAAGAAAACAGAATTTTTACTATACAAAAGTCACCTCTAAGATCCCGCTGTTTTAAGAAAACAGAATTTTTACTATACAAAAGTCACCTCTAAGATCCCGCTGTTTTAAGAAAACAGAATTTTTACTATACAAAAGTCACCTCTAAGATCCCGCTGTTTTAAGAAAACAAAATTTTTACTATACAAAAGTCACCTCTAAGATCCCGCTCTGATTCACTCTGAAGGTCTACATTCGGCTAAGATCCCGCATTTCAGACCATAATTTGTGGAACAAAAACCCGGGCGGGCACAGCAGATCAACCTAGAGTGAAAAGTTGAGATCAATAAACTGTCCGTCGTGTCAAAGATCAGCCACTATCGTGAATGTGATCACATACATGTTGTGAAACTCGATGAAGCAATACAATGTTTGCCCCATACGGGATCACACCGGGGTGTGAACTGACCGTCACGTTTGTTTTCCCCACGCATCGCACTCACACCTGAGCTCTCACCCTAAACTTACATCGCTCGCTGGGTGGGTAGGGCCTACACGTTCGCTCCAGGCGGGATCACATTGAATTGTGAACTCTTCCCTGACCATTGCAGCAGTAGTCTGTACTCCCGAATTTGCGAGACAGACTGAATTTTAATTGGTGTGTTCACAACGTAATGGTGTGTAACAACACAGGCGGTTGGGGGGGGGGGGGGGGACTCGCTCAGAGATGGAATGCTATAAATTTTCGACAGGTAAAGGGGAGGGGCAACTGGATAAGCGTAGATCTTGAGACTCATGATAGAATAATAAGTGAAAATGGCACGCCTCATCCCACTGTACACTGTCATAGGTCATCAAGGTTAACCAGTCTTTGCTCGCCATACACCATAACTAAGATCCCGTTTTTCCTTGCTCCTGAGCACCGGGATCTTAGGCGGAGACTACTGTTTTTCCTTTGAGTCTGTTAAAAGTATTGTTGCGTGGGTGGTTGGCAGGTGCTCTGGTGTGGTATGCTCCTTCTTTCCTATCAAACATCTGTCGTCCTTATCTCTCCTCCTTCTTTTTTGTGTTTGTTACTCTCTTGTAACAGCTCTAATCTTCGGCACTTAGATGACCTTATTGTGTTGCAAGTGCGGTAAAATTCTTACTAAAACTAAAAAAAACCCAGGTACCCCTTACTTTTTTTTTTCACTTTCAGAAAACCGTTACTACGGAGGGCGGCCGCCCGCGCCAGTTTACGAAGCGCCCGGCAAAGCCGATGGGGCCCGAGGTGCCGGAGAAGAAGCGGAAACGGTTGTTTACGACTATGGACCTCTGGTCACTTGACCCTCATTCCCTGGCCCCGAAGAAACGAGTGGGCATCCTGCTGGACCCCGACGCCCCTCTCAGGAAGAAACTACTCAAGTTGAAGGAGGTGAGATTAATAGTAATAATAATGATAATAGTAATATTATATATAGCCTGTATGCTGCGCATTTCCATTTTCTAAAAGAAATGCTCAATGCGCATTACATTGATAAAAATATCACAACTGAACCCTATCCGTACGCCCTGGGGTCGTTTTGTACCCCTGGGGTTTTATTCTTCACAGACATTAACCTGTTATTATGCACAGTAGAATTGTAAATGGGCTGATTCATCGATGTCATGCTCATAACTGTGCTTGAACTGCAACAGGGAACTGCTGCCTTTTCTTTCCTAATCCTTACTATTGTCATTTTCCTCTACTTCTTTTGTATGTTTGTCACTCTCTTGTGACCCGCTATTTCCGGGGTGCCTTGATAGTCGAAGCAGACTTTGTGCTGTTGAAGCTAGAGAGGTGAGCAGAGTAAGTCTGATTCCCTGTAAGGACTTCTCTGTTGACATCTACCCGTTGGCGCTCATATGACCTTATGCAGTTGCGAGCGCCGTAAAACCTCTACTAACACTAAGAGTTTTGTTGTCTCCCACAGCTGCTGAAGGAAGAAGGCATCACCAAGCTTCACCTGGTGTCCAAGGTCGATCAGTTCGCTCACAAGACAGCCATCAACATCAAGAACGTCTACCGCTTTCTGGAGGTACGTGCTGCCCTCCTCGCTGATCATGTCTCCCCAACTCCTCCCCCCCCCGCGCAGGGCGGTGCCACTGGCTGGAGTGTGTCTTTAGGCCATTCCCAAAGGGGGGATATTTCTCGTTCTAGTGAACAGTAGAATTGTAAATCGACTGATTCATCAATGTCATGCTCATAACTGTGCCTGATCTACAACAGGGAACTGCTGCTTTTTCTTTCCTAATCCTTACTGTTGTCATTTTTTCCTCTACTTCTTTTGTATGTTTGTCACTCTCTTGTGACCCGCTATTCCCGGGGTGCCTTGATAGTCGAAGCAGACTTTGTGCTGTTGAGGCTAGAGAGGTGAGCAGAGTAAGCCTGATTCCCCGTAAGGACTTCTCTGTTGACACCCACCCCTTGGCGCTCATATGACCTTATGCAGTTGCGAGCGCCGTAAAACTTTAAAAAACTCCTCTCACCTCTCTTTTTGGTTGGTCTCACTTTAGTGAGTTTTAGTTTTTCTTTAGTGTGAGAGTCTGTGAAACCGAAAACATTTTTGGGTTTTTTTTGTGCTTTAAATCAACATTTTTCAGTAAAATGCACACAGAAATGTGTTCTTGGGCATGAGAGGTGTTGAGCCAAAAAAACGAAGATCCCCCCCCCAAAATTTCCAAACTGCCAGAAAAATGCTGATTTCTCGGATTTCATTATTTTGACGAGTGCCTGAGTTGGTGGTTGGCGGGTGCTCTGGTGTGGTTTGCTCCTTCTTTCCTATCAAACTATTGTCCTGATCTCTCCTCCTTCTTTTTTGTGTTTGTTACTCTCTTGTAACACCTCTAATCTTCGGCACTAAAATGACCTTATTGTGTTGCAAGTGCCGTAAAACTCTTACTAAAAACTTTTTTTTTAAAGAACAAAAAAAAATATGAGTGCCTGATTTCCCCAAGATGCCTGACAAATGATGTCAGTGGGGACGTAAAAACCTACCTGAAAACAGATAACAATAAAGGCAGCGATGTTTCAGATTCCCATCCTAGGCATGGAGAGCAAGACGCCCGTGTTTATGGAGATATACTTCGACAACGTCCTCATGGCCGCCAGCCCGCCCGACAACAAGAGGAACGCCGCCATGCAACAGGCATACAGGAACCTGGTGGATGCTCTCTGTTCCCAGCCCATCGACGTGGTCGCAGCGGGCTCACAGTGAGTTGCGTGTGTGTGAGTGTGTGGGGAGGGGTATATAGACGGTCACATCAGGCTCACAGTGAGTTGTGTGTGTGGGGCGGGGGGAGGGGGGGGGTATATAGACAGTCCTGCAGTAGGCATACAGGAACCTGGTGGATACTCTCTGTTCCCAACCCATCAACCTGGTCACATGGGGCTCACAGTGAGTTGTGTGGGGTGTGGGGGGGGGGGGGGGGGGGGGGGGTGTGTGTTGTAAGTGCTGTAAAACACTTGATCAAACAAGATATGTGTTTTGTTCCAGGTTCTGGCACCCCCACATGGCCTACGAGCCCAACATCTGCAACATCGTGACCAAGTGGCAGGGAGAGGACAACAACTCTCTGCTCAGTGAGTCGCCGGCTCTTGGGGGGGTCCAAGGAAAACCACACATTGTCTTTTGGGGGGGTTTGTATGTCGCCCGAGGAAAACCACACATTGTCTTTTGGGGGGGCCAAGGAAAACCACATTGTCTTTAGTGCCATCACATATGTTGGGAGAAAAGCTTAATTGGAGTGGGTGGTTGGCGGGGGGTGCTCTGTTGTGGTTTTACTCCTTCTTTCCTATCAAGCACCTATCGTCTTTATCTCTCCTCCTTCTTTCCTATCAAGCACCTATCGTCTTTATCTCTCCTCCTTCTTTCCTATCAAGCACCTATCGTCTTTATCTCTCCTTCTTTCCTATCAAGCACCTATCGTCTTTATCTCTCCTCCTTCTTTCCTATCAAGCACCTATCGTCTTTATCTCTCCTCCTTCTTTCCTATCAAGCACCTATCGTCTTTATCTCTCCTCCTTCTTTCCTATCAAGCACCTATCGTCTTTATCTCTCCTCCTTCTTTCCTATCAAGCACCTATCGTCTTTATCTCTCCTCCTTCCTTTTTTTATGTTTGTTACTCTCTTAAGGTGCCGTAAAAGTCTTTACTAAAAAAAAAAAAGCATTATTGGAAATTTTGGTTTTGTAATTTCAGATGTAAGAAACTCCTTTTCTTCATGTTTAGAAAATGTTTAATGTATGGTAAATCTCATAACGTTCATGATGGTAAAGAACGTAATCATGTTATAGTTGTTTGGTTGGGTTTTTTTTCCTAAATTTGGGCAATTTTTGCTCTTATGACAATTTTACTTCCTTGTGTTTTGACTTGTTTGATTCAAGTCTTGTCACAACCTTCTCTTTTGACGTACATCTTTCAGTTAATTATGGGTCTCAATATTCCGCTATTTCGGCTACCGCCATTTCCTCCGCTAAACTCCGCTACTGCGCCACCTCTTTTTTATAATCAGGATTGTAAATGTTTGGTAAGTGACTCTTTTACTTGAAATTATCTTCCAAACCCTCAAATTGGTAGGAAATAACCTTGGTTTGATAAATTGATGGTTTTTATTTCAGCATTCTAAGGTTAAACAGTATATAATAATGATGGGTGTCTAGCGAAAACGTTTTTCTGTCGCGATCACGCGGAAAGCTCCTCCTTTTTTACATTCTGAGTTGAGACCCATGGTTAATGAATGCTGCTCATATGATGAATAAAATGGATGGTGTCAATGAGGATCTGTTTCTATGTTTCTATTATGTGGCGTCTGTGGTCTAGTGATTAGGGTACCAGACTCGTTATCGTGAGGTTGTGGTGTCGGTGGTCTAGCGGTTAGGGTACCGGACTTGTAATCATTGTGGTGTCGGTGGTCTAGTGGTTAGGCTACCGGACTCGTAAGCGTGAGATTGCGGGTTCGGGGGTTCCCGTTGTGTCCTTGGGAAAGGCACTTTACACGAATTTTCCTCACTTCACCCAGATGGGAATGGGTACCCCGCCATAGACAGCGAAAGATCCTGTCAGCATGTTAGCGTTTTAGCACCTATAAATAGCTGCTGGCACTGTATGCTTCCCAGGAAGTTGAGGTTGTTTCAGAATGCTCTCAGGTCTGCTGGGGTAATAGTATACATTGTGAGGCGCATAGAGCTTGCTGTTGAGCGGGGATTTTCGCTATACAAATGCTGTCTATTATTTTTATTGATGGGCATAGAGCGTGCTGTTGAGCGGGGATTTGCGCTATACAAATGCTGTCTATTATTTTTATTGATGGGCATAGAGCGTGCTGTTGAGCGGGGATTTTCGCTATACAAATGCTGTCTATTATTTTTATTGATGGGCATAGAGCTTGCTGTTGAGCGGGGATTTTCGCTATACAAATGCTGTCTATTATTTT